AAGTTTTCTCAAACTTCGTGACGCCCCCCCCCCCCACAAAAAAAAAAATATCTGGCAACACACGCCAAAGATTACATGCCGCGGGGTCGGTGGTGGTGGTGGGGGGGGGGTGTGATAAGGTGAAGTACCCGGAGTTTCTAATAAAAAAATTAACTTCCTGTTTATGATAAGATTACCGGTGCTGTCGGTAAAATACAATTTTATGAGACAGTGTCATTAGAGAAAGAAATAATGATAATTGTTAACTGCAATATGGAATTGTATGTATAATACGTATCATATAATACGAGTTCAGTTGGCAGATATAGGTGTAATATCAATAATGAATACACAAGGCTCTATTTAATCAATGTTTAGATTGAAGGTGTTCTGACTTTTCTTTGGCATTCGTTGGTGATTTTTTGTTTCATTTGACCTGAGTGTAGACGATCGCATGAAGGGAGCCAGTTCTTTCCTTCCTCTCCCTTTCCTACTGTCTCTCTCTCTTCCCTTGTTCTGATCACGTGTGTTTGTTTACTGTTATGCTAAGAGTTGCCAAGTGCCATTTTTTTCATGGTTGTCGGTTACCCCAACCCTCTACGAAGACGCAGATAATTTTAGTTCCATTACCTTGTACTTCTTTGGCATGTCGGAACTCCGGCCGATGCTTCCGAGGCTGAAGTAGATGACGCCAGCATCTCCAGACTCCTCCACGAACTTCGCAAGGTCCTTAGAAAGATAAGAACAGTCACCGTTATCAGCATTATCGTTATAATGATCAGCATTGCTAAAATTGCCATCATTCGTGTATCTATTGCTATGATTTTTATGTATTGCTATTGTAACTGTCATTGTAAATTATTGTAAATGAATTATCGTAACTCTTCAACATCACCCTCAAAATTATTGATATTCTCTTCATTATCATCATTGTTAGTTTTTTCTCCATCATTAATTGTATTAAAATTTGTTAAGAGGAAAGGCAAGCCAAGTCCAGGCAAGGGAGCGAGGTCGCTGCAGGAAAGACAACCGGCCTCAGTGCTTCTGTATGGAATGCTTGGCAATTGATAGGAAACTGCAAAGGCAAACCAAGCCCTGGGTCAAGATGAGGGCCATTGCATGAAGCGGTGTTGTTAGAGACTCAGATTAGTTCGAGAATTGGTTAGTTGGCTGTAGCAATCTTGGCGGAAAAGTAGGCTTGGTGATGTTGCAGACCTGATGGAGGCCGATATGTATGGATAATGTATGCATTGATGCATTTTATAACTGCGCAGCGGTACATGGATGGAATAGAACTGAAGTGATACTGAAATATTTGAAATAATGGTGTGTTTCAACTTGAAAAATATGAGATACAGTCACTGATAACGCCTGGTTTGATAACGCCAAAGTCAAAGCCAGCAGAGGCAGAGGCGGGTCTATCCCGATCAAGTGTGCATCTCGGCCATTCTCTTTTTAGGTAAGAGAAAAAACTAAACCTTTATTAACTACTGAATTGGTGGGCAGTAGGATCTACTCAAAGAATATTAGTATTCTCATAACATTGCCTATATTCAAGACAGACAGAAAATACCTTTTACCATCTCTTGGGTTGCATTCAGCAACATTACTGCAGCAAGAAGACAGAAGTTTATCGTCTTTTTTAACATCTCCAAAATCAAACTTTACCTCCCATGTCTATTTTTTTCCACAACCCATTTGTTCAATTGTTTCCATAATCCTGGAGTCGCCACTAGAGTGCAGCCTCCAGAAAAAGCTCTGACTCTGAACTATATATCGCAGAATGCTCCATGCCGTGTGTGCGTGTGTGTGTGTGTGTGTGTGTGTGTGTGTGTGTGTGTGTGTGGTGTGTGTGTGTGTGTGTGTGTGTGTGTTGTGTGTGTGTGCTGTGTGTGTGTGTGTGTGTGTGTGTGGGTGGTGTGTGTGGTGGGGGTGGCGACGACTATAAACTATTAATGTTCCATGCCGTGTGTGCGTCTGTGTGCGTGTGCGTGTGTGTGTGTGGGGTGATGGCGACTATGAACTCATCACTGCAACGGCCCTTTGCATGGTCTGATGGTGCCGTGCAATATGAGCTTTGGGACAAAATCGACCTCTAGTTCCCATATACCTTCCGTCATCGCTATGTCTCAAAGAACAACTTTTAGTTCACGGAATAAGTGACATGAAACTCTATACATACGACCGCATAGTGCAATACCTATGTCACAACTGATCTGTGCAATGTGGCAACAGACCAGGATGGGGGACAGTATGGTGCTAGCACTATCTGAAATTACTTTGGAAGAAGGAATGGGAGAATTAGTGATAACACGGCGATGCTTATGAGGATAACAGAGGCAAAGGAAAATGATATGGAAGACAATGGCACAAACAAATGATGCAGTGTTTGTGAATCCATGGCATAAATTTCTTATATGAGGGAAGCTAAAAAAAAGAAACGAAAAAGAAAGAAAGAAAAGAAAAGAAAAGAAAAATATATATAGTGAATGGAAGTTAAATGAAATGCATACAGATAAACAAATACTGAAAGAATATGTTAAACAGCTGATAAAAAGGACAGTGGAGTGCAGAGGGGAGGCTGAAGGGGCGGTGGCCTCGGGCATTCAAATCGTGGGGGGGGGTCAAATTCCTTGCACACAGGGGGAGATTTGGGCAAAATAAAACAGACAGTATGTCACAGCAAAGAATATCCATTGTAACAAATGGAATTAAAACTAAATCTTATTAATGTTGGCCCCGGGCATCAGCAGACCTCTGCACGCCACTGAAAGAACGATTTGAGTGGTTATACAATCAAAATAAGAGATGCGAGGCATAGATTGGACAATCTGGATGGTTATACAATCAAAATAAGAGATGCGAGGCATAGATTGGACAATCTGGATGGTTATACAATCAAAATAAGAGATGCGAGGCATAGATTGGACAATCTGAATGGGCATACAATCAAAATAGGAGATGCGAGGCATAGATTGTGGCATCAGTGGAGCAAGTCGGGTCTCTCATTGAAGCTTGGAGTGAGTGGCAGACATGAGGCTGAAGAAAAGGACAATGTCGGCCAGGAGTTGTTTACCTTTTAGCAACACAGTGTCCCCAGCGTGTTACTACTCAGTGGGTGATTTGGTGGCAGCACTGTGGAGGACGAGATGACTTGCTGGGGGGGTCTCTGGGTAGGCAGAAACACACAGCAGTTTATAAATGACAGAGACCTCGTTACTGCATGTTTTGAAACGGGCGGAACGAAGAGGAAAATACTGAATTATTGATGGGTTTTTTATTGTTCAAGTGCTTGTTTACGCACCACTTCGTATCCTCGAGGCCCCTTTTTCGGAAGGTTTTAAGCAACCTTTCACGTTCATATTTAGACAAACTCAAGCGCATCATAAACGGGGAATAGGCCTGCTCACACTAGACTAGCAATGATTCCCAACCTTTACGCTTTGAAATAACTCTATGTCCAAACAAGCTGTTTCTTAGTTTATCGAGATTCATTTTGCTTACGGTAGTTATTCAAATTTCATTCTGTCTTCGCCTTTAAGGTATTTCTTTTCAGGCGAGAAGAATTTTTATTCCACACTGATGTAGCAACACGGGGAGGAAACACTTCCCACAAAACCCATTTGTCGTGATCGGTTTTGCAAGTGAAAATGCACGAACGAACAATTGTGGCCGTAGACTTATTGAAATCACGAGGTGAGACAACAGAACCGCGTGGAACTGAATGAACCAGGCGCAGACGAAACACTTGCGCAGGCCATTGCAGAAAACCGAGGCACTACCTTACAAGTTGCAGGGAAAAAAGCCCTTAAAATAAGCATTCTAGGCATTCAAGGAAAATACACAGGTACCCGCACATAGGGAAGGTTAGGAAATTGGGTGGTACGTCATTACCGCAGTCACGACTAGCGCCTGAGGGAAGACCGCTGACACACGCCTGAGACCAGCGTTGCCGATGTGTAGAATTTTCGCCTGCTATGCGAACCAGAAAAGCGCGGGGGAAGTAACACTGCGAACTTTGCGGACCACACTTACGCACTTACACTCTCACACTCTCGCATTCTCTTTCTCTGTCTCTCTCTCTTTCTCACTCTTTCTCTCTCTCTCTCTCTCTCTCTCTCTCTCTCTCTCTCTCTCTCTCTCTCTCTCTCTCTCTCTCTCTCTCTCTCTCTCTCTCTCTCTCTCTCTCACACACGCACGCACACACGCACGCACGCACACACAGACAAACAGACAGACACGCACACACACACATCTACGTATGTATACACACACACGTACATGAAGAGATATGATTGTGTATACTTATGCCGATTTATTTATGTAGTAAAGGGCACACATCAGAAAGGACAAAGGTAATTTATTTGCTTGTGATTCAAATATTAGATTCCCCCTTTGGCCAGGTTTGCTTGCCTTGACCCACATCGCACCACGACGCTACCACAACAAATGAGGAAATATTTGGTCATGATAAAACAGTGAAACGAGGCGGAGGATCCCGTAGACTGTAAAAAAGCTGAATTCCTCTCAAAGCTGAGGTCTAAAACTAAGCTAAAATGGAAGACTGAACCGTGATGGAGGAGCCAGTAGAGTTCGAATACCTTAATTATACAAGAGGTAAACCGCGACACATGCATTTGTAAGTAGTCTACGTACATACATAGCGAAGCACATACAGGAAATTATAATATGTTTGCAATAAAATCAACAAAACTCTACACAGAAAAAAAATCACAATAAAAAGCTAGCAGAAGATTCCCTTCAGTGCAAAGCCTATGCCTGTTTCCTTTTTATTAAGTAGTTTAATTTCCTCATTTTCATATACTTATTTCATTATCCTTTACAGAAACCTAATGGTCATCTACGGAATCTGGCAAGAAATCGCGGAAAGATGGACTAATGTACTATTGCATCGATATGATAAATAACCTCTCCGATAGGGACTCGAACCCCCGTCGTTGCAGGCAGGTAAGTTGCAATTACCTGCCTGCAACGACGAAAAGGTTACTTATTTATCACTGTGATATAGTAATTTTGAATCCGAAGAATGTCAAACTGATACAGAAAAAAATTGATGGAGATAAGTAGCTGATGTATTATCTTTGGGATATGAATTTTTTTTTTTTTTCGGAACAAAAGTTCAATGTTATCTATGATATGCTTGTGTTGCCTGGCAGTGGAAAACCTGTGGGGTGAATGACTTTGTGGGCCGGATCGGAAATACCAATGTGTGACAGCGATAACGATAACGAAAATGACACTAAAGTATTCAACGATAATTCATGGGTGATACTGTCCTTAGGGAATTACGCCATTACCACAGTGTAATTGCAGGAAACGACCGTTATGGCAAAACTGAAAGAGCTCGTGGAAATGGCAAGTGCTTCGTAACGCTGAGTCTAGCATATCTATTTACATTAACCAACCACTTGTAGAATTGACGAATGTAATATTTACTTTACGAAGCTGGACAGAAATTCATAGATTTGGCCCACGTACATGAACACAAGGTATTCACAGACGCAGAGAAAGTTCCGAAGCGGGAATGAAAGCCAGGAAGTGTGGAGGCAAGTTGCACAAGGACCGGATATTAGCGATTGACCCGCATGACGATGGGGAAGAGCTGTCATTGGGTGGAGTGACAAGAGCGGTGTTATTTAGCTTCCTACTTCACCAATGGGCAAGGAAGAGACGAAAAAAATAGATTAAAAATGAAAAATGCAAAGAAA